GTCATTACTGACCCACCCCCAAGGGAACACCAGGTACTTCAAACCAGGCATCCTGGGCCATCCTCAAACAGATTGTTCTCCCAGGTGAGGATTTCCCTCCCCCTAATTGTCCCCTCCCAAATGGTCACTTTAGGGTTGTTCCAGGGCACCACTGTTTTCTCCTCTGAGACAGAATCTCAGGGTTGAATGTATACGTAAATTAAGCAGCAGGTTCAAGTTCCTGTCCTGTGGTCATCTTAGTATTGGCTTAGAATGATATGCTGTCTCTTCCAGGCTCGTCCTAGTTTCACTATCTTTTCCTGCTACTTCACCCAGTGTCTTCTGTCCATCACCAACTGGACCCAAGCTGAACACTTTCTTCTTGTCATCCTGTCTCCCTAACCCCCTTTGTCCCTGTCCCTCTCCACCTTAGCTCTTCCCTCTGGATCCCAGGTCCCAGGCTAGAATCACTGTCTTCACTGCCCTCTAAACTCTTGGTTCTGCCCATTGTTATACTGTGCCTGGCTTTTCCCATGTCTCTGAACACTCAGTATCTTTCTCAGCTTCTCTTCCAGCCCCCCTTGGGCTCCCTCTATGTCTCTCTTTGCTTTTCTTTCCAGCAGCCTCAGCCCTCCAGCCTTCCATTTGCATGCATTCTTTCATTTAACACAGCAGTACTGAGTACTTACCGTGTGCTAGGTCTAGATTAGGGGCTGGGGATGCATCAACCCAGACACTTCCCTCAGGAGCCTCAGTGAGGAGGGAGAGGAGGACAGGCCTGAAACCAAGCCAGAGGCCCCAGTAGAGAAGTGTGCAGAGTTCTGTGGGAGCAAGGGAGGAGGATAACTGGCGGGGGTGGGGGGTGCGGGGACACTCCAGGCAGAGAAGGGAGGAGAGGAGAATTCTGGGTAGAAGTTAAGGATACATCAAAGAGTTTAATGTCACTGATGATGGGGGTGTGGAGAGGGGAGAGAATGGTGGAAGATAAGGCTGGAAAGATAGCTTGGAATCCAACCACTGAGAGAAAGGAAATTAACATTTATAATATTTCCTTTAATTCTTACAACACCTTCCAGATTTTACTGTCTTCCCAATGAAAACCCTATGGATCACAATGGTCTGATCCGCCACCAGTCATGGGGATGCCACAAGAACAGGCAGTGTTTTCTTCTATTCTGCATGGGTCGCCATGACAGCAGCTAACAACAACAACACTTGTGAGCCTGAGGCTTAGAGAGGTTAAGTGATGTAAGCATGTGAGCCAGCAGGCAAGTGGGAGCAGCATGGAGCAATGATTAGGAGCATGGGCCCTAGAGTCCTGAGTTCCATTCCCAGCATCTCCACTTACTGGGACACTGAGTGCCCCATCTCTCCCTGTGCCTTTTTTCCCAGTTGTTAAAAGGGGACTAGGAGAGCCTACTTTGTGAGCAGGGGATGTTAGGAGAATTCAGTTTAAAAGTGTTTGGGCAATAAATGTTAGCTCAGAAGTGACAAAGTCAGGATTCAAGCCCGGTCTGAGTTCAAGGCCCTTGTGCTTTTCATGTATACCCTGCTGCCTCCATTGATTGTGAAGGACCTTACATGCAATGTCAAGGAGAGTTTGGACTTGATCCTATAGGCGATAGGAAGCACTGAAGCTTTTTAAGCTGGGGAATGATTTGAACTCATTTGTGTATTTGGAAGATCACTGTGTAGAGGCTGGGGACAAAAGGACCAGGACTAGGGGAGGGGAAAGGAGAGAGAGAGAATGGAGTGAAAAGGAAGAAGATGGAGTCATAAGATTTGATGGCTTATTGGGTGGAGGTGGTGCAAATAACAGTCAAATAATCATCCCTGGGTGGCGCAACCAGTTAAGAGCTTGGCTGCTAACCAAAAGGTTGGTGGTTTGAGCCTACCCAGAGGTACCTTGGAAGAAAGGCCTGGCAGTCTACTTCTGAGAAATCAGCCACTGAAAACTCTGTGAAGTACAGTTCTACTCTGACACACATGGGGTCATCATGAGTGGGAATAGACTCAACAGCAACTGGTTTGATTATTTTTTTAAATTGTCCCTGCTTTAAATGCTTCAATGACTTCCCTTAACCATGGGGTATATCAGAACTCCTCAGCCTCACTTACAAAGCCCTTTGCTCTCTGCCTCTTGTTTACTACTGCTCTAGCTTCATCTCAGATCACCTCACTCCCTCAACCCCAATGCACCTTTAACAAAGCCACATTCAAGACACCCACCCTCTCCCTTGTTCTGTCCTCTTCTCCCCTCTCTTCTTTCTTTGTTCCACCTCTCAGCACAAATACTGCCAGGTTATTATCCTTCCTGTAACTCAGTAAGCCTGCCCACTCACTGGTGCAGAATCTGTGCCAGCCTCTCAGTCACCTTCCTGACACCTCGTTGTTACTCCTCTTTGGTGGACACCAACTACTCCTTCGCCCAGAAACCCATCTCTCACCAATTTCCCTCTTCAGGATTGCTAACAGCTTGATACAGAAGCTACAGTTGCATGCAATCCTCAGTAAAGAGGAACAAGGAAGCTGGGTTTCCCTTCTAAGTTTGTGAAAAGAAGCCCCAGGGTTCCTGGAGGCCCAGAACAGACACTGCTTTTATCTCAGAATATTGTAAATTATTGGCTTTCATGTCTTTCTTTTCCCCCAAACTGAGTGCTCCTTGAGTCCACGCACCATGTCTGATTGTGGCCCTGGTGACACGACAAATATTTCTCAAATGAATAAATAACAGATTCTCTTCCAGTGTTTCACACACACACCCTGTTCTCCCCCATTGCTCACTGCCCCAGGAAAGTGTCCCCCTCCTCCATTGCCCAGTCCTCCCATGAGTCCACCAGACTCCCAAAGGGCAGAAGATTCTCCTACTCTAGTCCACCTCCTTTTGCAGACCTTGAGCAGTTATGTGAATGCAGTTTATAGCTATGGCCACCAGACGGCTCTTCTCATAGCCCTAGATTCCCATAAGCAGCTTCACAAGGGCTTCATTTGTGTAGCTAGGAGTTAGAAGCAGGTTCTTTCATCAGTTTCATACTGGATCTGAGGTGTTCTCTCCATTACAAGACCCTTAGAGCAGAAAGTTGGTCATATGGTGACTTTAAAGGACCATTTTGACAGCTATCTCCAAAATTTTCTTGGTAAAACACAATTTTATTCTAGAATAATTTAAAAAAAAAAAAAAAACCCAACACACGTACTGTTTAATGAGAAACTATTTTGTTCTGTAAACCTTCATCTAAAGTGAGAATAGCAGCACAATTGGAAGAGCGTAGTCGATGTCACTGAACTGTGCATG